TATGCCACTGATGGATAGGAGCGGGAAGGACTGCTCTTACCGACTAACCCAACAAGTCCAGGCAGACCTCAAGCACGGAATAAATAGCAGCTCTGACCAGCCCAAGGCTTCTCCTCACCTCAGAGCCCTAGGCTTAAGCTCCGTGAGAGCAGGGCCTCAGCTCCCTTCCCAGAGGACTCCAGATGACACGCTGTTGTAGCCCAACTGTCACCAACAATGCAGCAGGGGACCAAACGTCTGAGACTTCACCTTGAGATAGCTTTCTGTCACCTATCAATTCCATTCAGCACACACACATGTAGCAGATGCTGCGAGACAGGAAACACCACCCTTAATAGCTGTAAAATCAGTGCTTAAGAAAACGGATGGTGATGGAGCTAAGGAAGCTGTGCCCTGTTCTCTCCCATAGATCATGTCCCAGAGAGATGAGGTGACCCCACCCAGACTCCTTAGTTCCCTGGGGGACAGCCTGTTATGTCCACACCACGGAGGCTTAGGTGTGAGGAGGGTGAAATCAGGTTCCTGCAAGTCCCAGGTCACAGAAGAGTCTCTGCCATGGTCTGTGTTTCCCAGCCTGTTAGACCGGTTTCTTTGGGAGGGTTTCACACACAGAAGCCAACCGATCATGGAAGGATTGGGTATTCTGTGTGTCTGCTCCTAGGATAAAGCCGTGTGGATGCAGGAGTGGACTTCAACCATTTGTCTTGAGCACCTGAGCAGGAATATAGCTATTCAGACACCTCCTCCCAACACCTGTACACACAACCACACAAACAAATGCAAACATATATGTGCATGTGTAAGTATGCACACATACGTATACAAGGCACACAGATGAATACATTGCATACATACTGTTCTGCTTTGCTTTTTCTTTCTTTGATAAAGACTGTGACCAAAACTAACTTGGGAAGGAAAAGATTTATTTCAAAGTGTAGTTTCTAGACCATCTTAGAGGGAAGTCAGGGTGGTATCAAGGCAGGAACTGAAGCAGAGATCATGGATGACAGAGAGCTGCTTACCGGCTTGCTCCCAGTGGCTTGCTCAGTTTGCATTCTTATACCTCCCAGGACCTCCTGCCCAGGGGTAAAACTGCCCCCCAGTGTGCTGGAACCTCTGACATCAATCATTAATTAAGAAAGGCTCACCCCCCCCCCCAGATTTCCCTGCAGGCCAATCTAGTGGAGGCAACACTGGGCAGGTTGTCATCTCTGCCACCTGCAGAAGCCTTCAGCTGCCTTAATGAAGGGCTCGCACTACTTAGCCAGGGCCTTAGTCATTCTCCCTCGGAAGAGTCCATATTCTTGAGGATATAAACTGAGGGGACATGAGCTAGAACACACCCTAGGCCAGAGTCCACCTCTACTACCCAAGCCCAAAGGCTCAAGCCTGCCTGTACACCGGCTCCAGTCTCTCCTGCTAACCACAGACTTACCGCCTTCCTCACTGGCTTCCAGATGTTCCTTATCAACAAATCTCACTTGCTCAGTTTAGGTTCTCTCCCCCTTAACACACAGCCTGTGTCGCTCACGAGGGCAGCCACCTGTGTCAGTCGCCGGCTGCAGGGTCAACCACCATGCCTGGAATAGATCTGGTGCTATCTTCTCTTCTCTTAATGGTCTGTCAGAGTTTCCCTCTCACGTGTTCCCCTGCCTTGTGAAGAGGAGCAAGCCCTGTAGCCTTCAGCTGCTCATGAAGGAATAATTTCCATTGTTTCTGTATTACCTAGGAGCCTCAGGTGAGGTGCAGGTGTCATAGTTACGGGTCATCATGAAACCGTGACATTTCTAGTTCCCACTGCTCTCCCTCCTACAAAGGTCCCACCACAGAACCACGCTGGCACACTAATTCAGCTACTGAAGACTGGCCGGGATTGAAGTGGGTTTGGGCAGCAAGTGACACGGTGTCCCCTTGCTCAGCCTATAGTTTGACTCTCTGAGGTTCTTTGGAATGGCTGTCATCACTGATGACTTCCACCCTTGGAAGTTAAGCCATGCAGTTGGCAACTCACTGACTGAGGCAGGAGGCTTGGTGGGAAGGAATAAAGAAACCATTTCCGTGTTTAGACATGGTGAAGCATGACCTATCAGAGGAAGCAGCGCCCACGTGGCGGGAGGAGGGAGAAGCCTTTCCTATGACTCCTAGTCGTAGGTCTTTCCTTCTGAGGATACCATTTCTTCATCTGGAATGTGGAAAGTGGGCATCACATAATGATCGCCTTTTCTGTGCTATGACATCGCTCAATGAGATTTTATGTTTTTGGTGGTAGTGGGGATGGGAATCAGGGCCTTACACATGATAGCTTCACCCTCAGCTTTATCCACCGCTGAACTTTATCCCCAGCCCAGTTAAATTCCTTCCTTCCTTCTGCACTGGCCGCTTCTTTCTGTGTGTGTTGTTTGTGTGTGTGTGTGTCGTGTGTAGTCATTCATATGACATCCAGAGGTCGATGCCAAGTGTCTTCCTCTATCGCTCTATTGCTTCCTCTGTTGTCTTATTGTTCAAGGCAGGGTCTCATGATGAACCTGGTGCTCATGGATTTAGCTCTAGCTGTTCAGAAAGCCCTAGTGAGCCTCTTATCTCTACCGCTCCAGTGGTGGGATTATAAACATGTACCTGACTTTTTACAAGGACCCTGTGCTTTCATGGTAAACACTTTGACAACAAAGCCATCTTCCCAGTTTCATAAATTCCTTTCTAAATAGAGTTGACATTTTAAATGAAATGGCGTTTTTTAGCTGAGTAGTGATGGTTCACTACTTTAATCTCAGCACTCGGGAAGCAGAGGCAGGCAGATCTCTGAGTTTGAGGCCAGCCTGGTCTACAAAGCAAGTTCCAGGATAGCCAGGGCTACACAGAGAGACCCTGTCTTGAAACACATACACACACACACAGAAACCAAACAAACAAAAACAAAAACAAAAAAAGAAATAGTATTGGTTGATGTTCAAAATCTGCTAACATTCAGAGACTTGGCCTATTTGATTTATCTACAACCTCGAAGTAGATGTGATTTTTGGTGTTTCTGTTGTTGTTCAAATAAGAAAGATATGATAATGAAAAAAATGAGCTCTCCATTCATGTAGGTATTGTTTGAGGCTTCCACCAAAGGTAAACCAGCTTGTCCTTGAGTGTGGGGCTTATCATATAGTAGACATATTTTCTGTTCATCTGAACTTTTTACTTTGGTTTTAATTAATCTCCTTAGATATGGTAGATATATCATCTTCGCTTATGGATGAAAACATTGGGACATATTTGGCTGGATTAGCAATGAATCCAGAAGCAGAATGAGAGACTCTCCTAACACTGAATGAAAAGTATTACTTAACCAAAGGAACATAATAACACAGCGATTATTAAGTATTTGCTTTAATCACAGGCTCTACTAAGAAGATGAGAGAAAAAAGACATTTCAAATATAGATGTATATCTTCAAATATTCTTTAAAAAAATAAACAAAGGAGCTGGGTTGAAGCTTGTTATTAAAGGCCCCACCTTTCCTATATCTCTCACCAAGCAGGATGCTGCCTTACTCTGTTATCCGGGTTGTCATTCTCCACCCAGAACTGGCTGTCAGCTTCATTGAGAAACTGGTGACTTAATATTTATTGAGGCCGCTGTATTTTTCCAGCACGGAGATGAGACAGCACTCCTTCTTGAAGAAGTTTTTGGGAAATAAACTATCTAACTGGAGCCTTTCTCATTTCCTCTCCCTCTCCATCTGAGGCTCCCTGGACACAAGACGGGAGTCGGGGTGGAGTGCCATAGGGTCTGAGTATTCTGAAGTGAAGTCTGGCTTCACCACAGAGATGAAGGGAATGCTCAGTCTATTTACCTGGTTGAAGCAGAAAAGGTGGAATTTGTTAAGTTTCTCAGGAAGAGAATGATTAAGTTTGTTCCTATGGTTCAGGCAAGAGTGGAGGATAGAAACCCAAAGGGGGCTGACTTGAAATTCATCTTGGGCACTCCATGACAAATGTCCACTCACAGGTCCACCCACCATTGGAAAATCTTAAGACCTCATAGTGTTGAGGTCTTAGTCTAAACCCTCCTGCTGCAGGTTGTGTAGGGATAGGTTTCCTTCCAGCAGGCAGACCACACAGAAGGCCATGGGTAGGGGTGTCCCTAGTAGATTAGTATGCTTAGGGCTGACACAAAAAATCCCCAGGGGGGCTCAAATTTTGCCGGCCACACATTGCCTTCCAGTGCCCAAGCAGCACCCAGGCAAGATGCTCCAATCTCAGCTGTTTCCCACCCTAAGCACGGAATGAATGTTTCTCATCTTCAATGGAGAACAGTCTGGAGAACACTGGACTTGGCTGTGGAATTGTAGGTCTCACTAGGAGAGATAAAAAGTCTTTCCTCTCCCCTCTAAAGTCACACTTCATATACATGTTTGTTTTTTTATAAACGATGCCTCTACAGCAGAATGCAACCCAGATCTTTCCTTTCTGGGTGCTAAAGACAGTTCTATTCTCTCTTCTTGCCCTGGGCTGCAAGTAGAATGAAGGCCATGGTTATATCCAGAAAGCCTTGGTGCTTTTACCTGCCTCTTTCCATCAACCTCACCCTTAGGACAAGCTTGAGAGGAGAAATCCTAATTTGAATCCCCATAAGGACTGCTGAGGAGAGCCCCCAAGGCAGCTTCTTCAATACCTGTGCCTCACTCTAGTGAATCTCTGTAAAGTTGGGGAAGCACTCTTGAGACCACCAACTTGGTCAAAGCCTCTATGAAAATTAGTCACAGGGGAAGTATGTCCCAGGTAGATGTTTCTGCAGTGAGGTGGTCTGCCATCATGGCCAAGAGTGGCTGGTAGTCTCTGTCCCATTGCCCCCATACCACTTCCCATCAGTTTACCCAGGATCTTCCCATCCATCCCAATTACTTCATGTCTTGTCTGCAGCTGGTCCGTCCCTCCCTGGGAGGAGTATCTTGCCTGAGGGCAGATAGAGGGTGGAGAGCCTCCTCCCTTTGCTCCAATTGCAGAAAAGGAGGGGATTCCCATGCCAGGGCAAGGCTACCTATAGCTCAGTACTCCAACAGACACAGCCTCAGAACCTAGCAGCAGCCCTGTACGCTGGACCACAAACCCGAGGAGCAGTAGATTGACATCTGGTTGACAGCACCTTCAGAAGCTCTGCGAGGTACAAGAGAACACAGCCATGTCTCACGGGTTTCCTAAAGAGCAGGTGGAAGAGTTCCATGCGGCCTTTGATAGGTTCGACAAGAATAAGGACGGCCACATCAGTGTCCAGGAACTGGGGGATGTGATGAAGCAGCTGGGCAAGAACCTCTCAGAGGAAGAGCTGAAGGCGCTCATCTCCAGAGTGGACACAGACAATGATGGCACCATCAGCTTCGACGAGTTCTTGGCAGCCATGGCCAAATACAAGAGAGGGAGCACCGAGGAGGAGATGCGGGCTGTGTTCAGTGTCTTTGACAAGGATGGTGATGGGCACATCACTGTGGATGAGCTCAAGCAGGCCATGACTCAGCTGGGAGAGGAGATTTCGCAGGAGGAGCTGGACGGCATGATCCGTGAGGCTGATGTGGACAAGGATGGGAAGGTGGACTATAACGAGTTTGTGCGCGTGCTCAAGGAGAAGTGAGACTGCTGGGGCGCAAGCCCCATCCATCTCTATCTGCCTGACTCAGGCCCAACAGGCACTGTGCCTTCTTTCAGGGTTCTGCTTTTGTGTTGGGGTTATAAAGGAAAAGTCTGTGTTGGTGTATGGGAAACTACCTCATGAATGAGGAAGACTCTACTGGTCCTGGATGCTGTACCATCCGGAGCTGCTCACTAGTCCCCTCTCTGTCTGCTGAGACTCTGGGCAAAGGATGGTATCTTTGGGCTGGTCCTTCCTCTTCCTCCTGCTGTGGATTGGGTGCTTCCTACCTCTCAGGGCTCTCATAATGGTTTAAATAAAAGGAATGCAAATTCTGTGTGCTTGGTGTTTGATTAAATAGGGAATTTCCAAGGGCTTCCAAAAATATACTCTTTGGAGCGGCAATCCCTTTCACAGAACTGGTGGAAGAGCTGATCGAGAGGCCCTTTGGTCTAGTTCTTGCCTTCCCTAGTTTCCAAGGAGAAAAGGTGAGTAGTGGTGTGTGGTGGGGGGTGTCAGATGGAGGAATCAGGTCTTTTGAGGTTTAAGGTCTGCCTGAGCCACTGGCTACCAGTGCCTGGCCTGGGACAGGCAGAACCAACTGCATGCCCACCCAGGAAAGACACTAGCCTTCTCACATAGCCTGCTGTGCATTAACCTTGAATACAAAGGTGGTGAGAACTGTTTATATTTATGCTTTGTGCATGTCTATGTCCATCTGCATAAGCCTGTGTGTGTGAATTGTGCATGTATGCATTTGTCTATATTATCCATGTATGTCCACATGGGTTTATACATGTGTGCCTATATGTGTGTAAGTATATATGTAGATGCATGCATATGTCCTGGTGTGCATCTGTATATGTGCATGTGATTTTGTGTGTGCATGTATTCTGTATCTGAAGTGTATCAGCCTATAGGTATTTTTTTAAAAGATGGAACCTTAGTAATGGGATCTACTTTTAAAAAGCTACAGTCGTGTAGCTGGATGAGAATTGATCAGGGCCATACATGGTGGACAGAGGGTATAGAGTGGTGCTGGAAGGAGGTGGGCAGTGACAGTTCCATGGTGAAGGCAGAAAAAGCAAGGAGGGGTTCCCCAAACCGCTAGTAGGACATTCATGTTCCCACAGGATAGAACTCTATTGGCCAAGACTGTGGCTCCCTCTTGGCCGTGCTTGTGAGAATCTGATGCCCCTTTCCAGGATTCAGTCTGAGGGGTTCATCCAGGTGAAAAAGAAAGACTGAGGGCTGCAAGGGCTCCTCATCCGCGCGTTCGAGACAAACAAGGTCACTACGTGAACTTGGGTGGGGATTCCGCTGCCTAGTTTGGAACACAACACTGAGTCTTGCTTGTTGTTTAATAAACTGGGCTCTTATTTCTTCCTCCATGAAATGGGACTTCTCTCTCTCTCTCTCTCTCTCTCTCTCTCTCTCTCTCTTTCCCTTCCTTTCTTCATTTCTTTCTCTCTCCTCTTTTCCTCCCTCTCTCCTTCCCTCCTCCCTCCCTTCCTTCCCTCCTCCCTCCCTCCCTCCCTCTCTCCCTCCCTCTCTCCCTCCCTCCCT